ATTTTCTCTCAATATTGCTACTACAAGAGCATATTTGAGAAATATGTAGAGAATATTATTTTCAACTAAGAAATAATTCTAAACATAGCAAAATTATGTACTTGCAACCATAAGTAAATTTATCATACCAGGCTTTGAAATAATGACCATCTTTTTCTTTAAGTATTTCAAAGAACAAGTGGATCCTCAAGCATAATTGATTTTCTATAATAGCATCTCCAAAACTCAATGCATCAGAATATAAGTATTTATAACAAATAATTCTAAAGATAAATAAGTAGAATTAAAAGATGAAATATTACCTCAAAAATGTCAAAGAGTATATGTTCTTGTTTAGTAGTTGCTCAGTAGTAGACACTTGTATTTAACAATCATTCAAAGGTTAACCATAAGAAATTGAAATAAGTTTGTGGGTCAGAAATTTACCTCAAAAGTTACTTGAAGAAATGCAGGCAGAATTTTGGCAAAATCTCGTGTTTCACTTTTGTTCAAGGTAGAGCCTCCGTTTTCACCTTTTGCTCAAAAGTAGAGACTCGTGCTGATAACGTGTTGTAAAACTAATAAAATGAACTACTATAATAGGAATTGAAATATTAGAGGAATGAGTAGAGGAATGAAGAATGATCTTCTATCCAACTAATACAAAAGTCCTCACAAAAGGTGGCAATGTACCTTTATATATAGGTACTACAAGATTAAAGGTACATCAATTCTATTAAACACCCACTACTATAAGAATATGAAGAAATCTATGAAACGGTTTCTCCATTACATGAATAGATTTATGGATTGTAACTTCTATACATAATGTAGCCATAAATCATGTATTAATTCTCTTGGGAATACAAAAGGACATCCACATTTTAGTTGTTTCATAACATCTAGCATTTTTTTGATTTATTGCCTTGTTGGATTATAGTGAAATAGGTTAGGTTGGGTTAAGTTTTTTTAAGTGTCGCCTGCTTTTGATTAAAAATTGAGGTTTGCTATAGGCTTAAGAGGGTAAAGTCCACTGTTTCCAATTGGGTTTGTTTGGGTAAAACAATGGACTGGCCTGTGTATTTTGCTTTGGACTTTCGCTGGGCTTGGGGAGGTTTTGGCCCAACCAAAACAAAAGGAAAATGAGAGTTGGCCCAAAGACCCAATTCCTTAAATGATTGGTGACGAAAATTTGCGAATCAGTCCTGAATTTTCATTAATAATATTACGGCCCTAAAAATTTTAGATTTATTTCAATTAGGTCCCTAATTTAATTTCAAATAGGTCCCTAAACTTTATTTTTTTAATGTTGACCCTGAATCTTTGTGATAATTATAATTTAACCCTCAAAACTTTATTAATTTTTGCAATTTTGCATGACATTTCCCTTATATGTACATCCCTTATCCCATATTTCACTATATGTACATCCCTTATCCCATACTCCCCCTATATGTATATCTCTTATCCCATATTTCCCCTATATGTATATTCCTTATCCCTATATGTGAGACATGACATTAGATTTGCATTTCATTTAAGAAAATTAGAATTAAGTTAGGTCATTTGCTTGACAAGATAGGAAATACCCCTTGAATATGGGATATGGACGAGTGTGGCTTTTATAGCCTTAGCACGCTCGTATTCCCTCTATTAAAAGGAAAATTGAAATGACGAGTATTAGCTCCCCGCACCTGTTATGATGCATTCCTTTAGGTCATGTATATTCGTATATCATTATTTTCTTCTCTTTTCTTTTACTTTCCTTCGAGTCTCATATTTTTGCACATTCGTGACCTTTTCAAAGAATCACGTTTGAGAGTCGCAATTAATGCGATTTGCACCAATTAAAATTCAAAGAGACATATTGACCCTTCCGATAACGATTAGGTTTAGGTTTGCATTCATATAGTGACATCCAAATGTGATAAATTTTTAGGTTAAAATAAGAAAATTTTTGACTAAATCACGTAACTAGCTTTAGGCTAGGTTGAAAGGGTGCCTTGGATTTTATCCTTGCCTTCCCTTTCTTTAAATTTGACTCCCGAACACTTTTCTCTGATTTCCGAAAACTTGGAGTCGTTTAAAAAGGGTTTTCTCTATTTTTTATTAAAAATTCATTTTAGGTGACTTGGTACACCTTAACTCAATACCAAGTGGAGACTCCTATTGTTTTATTAAAAACCCTTTTTAAACTATATTTTGGGCAAAAAATCGTCACACTTTTAAACCCCATTTTAGGCCCATATTCTTTATTTATTTTCTAAAAATCAAACTCTCATTTTCACTCAAAATTAATCAAAAATTCATTTTTATAACACTTGATTTTTATTTTAAAAAACGGGGCACGACACAACTAATTCAAATTCTATTCATTACATTACAATACAATATTCTTCCTTCCAATACTAATAAGAATTTCATCTAGTATAATAAATCTTACATAGCAATATTATAATGATATGCAACGCATATGCATTTTACTAGTACTCTGTATATATTGTTTCTAGACATACTGATACTGGCATATACTTGTTAGCTCTGATCCTAGAAAATTGACCAATGAGAATAATAGAGTTTTTGATAACCTAATAATGACAATAACAAAGTAAATAAATCAAACAGAGAAACACAGAATTTTACGTGGTCCAGTTGAATTGATTTACATCCATCGGCAAAAGGGTAGCAGATTTACTATAATAAAGAGAGAGTACAAAACCTTAGGAAATAATTTTAAGGCTCAAAAGGTACCTAAAAACTAAAAATACAAAAAAGTCTAAATAGCACAAAATATTTAACGGCCCAAAGACCCATAACTTGTTCTTTTGATTTGAAAAAGACGATAGGTCATATCCAACTTTAGCTTTCAGACTTATAAGCTATTAAAATTATGTAGTTCGGCCGCACACACTTGGTCTGTCATCTAACCAAAACTCCTCTTAGATTGGGGTGTGGACCCTTAAAACTCTCTTGGGCTGGTGTATTCAGAAATTGAGTTGATGTCCTTCAAGCAATTAAATTCATTTAAACCCACTATATTTATAACAACCATAAGGACAGATTTCTTTGTAAAATTTTCGATTTAGGATACAAAGACAAACTCAACAATACTAAGTATAGCAACCGTTATAATGTAAATGAAAACTAGGATTGATGAAGTTGTCGTTTCTGCTGTAGACAATTCCTGTGCATTGAGGTAGCAATGCATATTAACATCATAGGTAGATAATAAATATGAGTGTGTGTTTATATGGTAAATTTAGGTTGTGCTAGTAAGAAAGTCCTTCTTTATCGTAGTTTTCAACAAGATAAAAGTCATTGGATTGATTGATTGATACCAAAAGCTTCCTCTTGCTTTGTTAATTGAAAGATAATCCAAATGATGTCAATTGCCCATATCGATTAGAAATCAGATAGAAAAATATTAAGTCACTGACGAACATCTTAATAGTTTAATAGTTCACCTTAAAAAAGAGAGGTAATTAACTCTTTGTCTCATTTTAGTGGACGAAAATGAAAATGACAAACATCTTTAATGTAGTCCTATCCTGTATCCGTTTGACAACAGAGCATGTTCCTTAACACATTCTGTGAAAGGTTTTCGTTTAGCTCATGTCTGGGGGAAGAAGAAGGTGCTCATGAATTACTAGAATTACTTGATTCATAATTATTCAGTTCGTTTAGGGAGCTGAACTCATCTCTGAAAGAGTGTAGAAAATGGGCAATCTTGCTTGTCGTCCAAAAGATACCCTTTCGAACTCTGGGAATCCAGCTTACCTGGGTTTGAAAGATCGACCCTCCCCGAACAATTGTGTCTTGGGCCTCAACAACAGGCCCAGAGGAGGCCACATTGCCCTCCAACAAAGAGGGACACGAAAACGACTGCATTTTCTTTACCAGGTCCAAAACTAAAAAGGAGAATAAATAATAAGGAAAAAAAACCGTTACAAAAGAAAACGGTTGGTAGCACAGTGATTAAATTCTCTCGCCCGAATTACAAAAGCCACGAAAGTGATCAGTCTGGTCGAACCCATATCCCAAACAAATCCTCATTCAATTGTAAATCATTCAAATAGTGGATTGATAATGATGTTAGTAGATTTGTTTTCAAAATTATCCTTGAAAATTTAAATTTTAAATTTGAATTTAGTATGAAATATAGATAGAGATGGGAATAACATTGGAAAAAGAGATCAAAAGTAATTTTAATTTTAGTAAGATGACAAATATACGATATCCAAATATAGAGAGTATGACATTTTCAGTGGAACGAGGAATATACATGCTTTCATCAGCGTTGCTTGCATAATTTGAATTAGCTACATCATCTATAACGAGGATAACCTTCTCTTCTTTAGCCAACTTTGAGATTTTGTCCTTTAAGGATGACAGACAAAGTGTGTGAGGCCGAAATACATAATTTTAAAAGCTTATAAGTGTGAAAGCTAAAATTGGATATAACCTGTCGTCTTTTTCTTCATATTATCAGGAAAATTTTCATTTACTGATTTCAAACATTTTACCAAACACGACATAAAATCAAAGCACAGCATCTCATTTTAAGAAAGCTGCGACTCTTTGGTATGAAATTCTAGCAATTTGTGAAGTACAACACCAATAGAAAGAGAGGTAGTAAAGCCTGACCTATTGTTAGAACTGCCCAACAAAAAAGGAAACGTACTAAATGTGCATTCGTCAAATTAATGTTACTTTAAAAATAAATGTGTAAGAAGAGAACCAATCAACTTAGAAAAGCCATTTCTTTCTTTTTTTTGATAAAAAAAAAAATTGAAATTTTATTACCTGTCTAACAAATCCGCCATTAGAAATGACACAATAAAGTCTGGAGGATCTTTATTATGACTCCTACTCACCCATGAAGTACTAGATACCTCTAAACTAGTTAAATTCGTCACAATGTCCTCATTTAGAGGGTCTAAACTAGATAAATCAACATCTACACTCAAATTCTTAATTATGAAAGCACAAAAAAAAAGAACGTACAATTGGACTTACGGCTGTTTAATTTTATACTATTGGTTCATGGAGTACTTTAGAAATATGGAAATCAATAGTATCCTTATCACAATACGTTGTGTAAAAGAAAGTCTTTGCCACAGCCAGAAATGTTTGCTTGATATCAGACGGATTGCCTATTGCCGAGTTTTGAAGTACTAATTGCACAAGTGCTTGCATATCTTCTTCTACCTCTAGTCTTTTGAAGCTACCGTTGCTATTTTCAGCATCAATTGCCTGACCAAGTCAAAACACACAAAAGAAAAGAGTAAACAAAATGACGTTGGGAAATTAATCCAAATTTAGGGACCAACATTTCTTAGCCATTTATTATGATGATGCATTTTTCTTTTTTTCTTTTTTTTTTTTCTAATAGGGACAGATGGGATTTAATAACCTGTCAGTGGACAGGGGAATTAGAACCCACCTGCAGAAATAGGAATATTCTATGCTCATGTATTAATATTATAAGCACTTTCTCTTTGATTTCATAGTCAAGTGCTTAAGCCAATAAGGGTTGTCTCAGTTGGCAACACTAGAACGCTTTGCTGAAAAGAAGCCTAGGTCCAAAATTTGGTGTCAGTAGTTCCTCACTGGTAGCCAATATGTAAGAGAATCAAAGTGTAAACCCTCGATGAGACGTGTGACTTGCCTTGACTTTAGAATAGACAAACCAACCCTTCTCTTAAAACATTTTTCTACCGAGCCAAAAGAGGGGGAAAAAATACTAACGAATAATGGTCAATGTATGTGTGGCTAGTGCCAGAGGCAGGAGGAGTATTTCGTAAGGTCATTTCCCTAAATTTGAGAAAATACCTGAGGAATATGTACATGGATGAGTAGCTTAGGCTACATGGTTACATGGCTCGTTTATATAGTTCGTGGACCCATTACTGCATGGCTAATTTAGTAAGATAAAACTAGAGGTTTTAATCACCATTCAATTGTATTGACTCATTCAAACTTGTCTATTAATAAGTGGATTTGGATATATAATAAATATTGAATGGTATAAATGGGTAACTCAATTAAAACTATTTAATTGGTGTGTAGTGAGTTGACTCATATCACCCATTTGTACCTATATAAAAATAATTGCACATTTAAACTCAATTTTTGGTGGGTGTAATGTCAAACAACAGGCAGAAAAAGTAGAATTTTAAAAGAGTCATAAATGGATAATTGAGTATACCTGTATCCATTTAATAAGTAGGTATAAATGAGTTGATCTATTTATTAAATGAGTATAATTGGGTCGATTCAATTATACTTACTACCTAATTATGACACACCTAAATCCACCCGAATCATCCATTTTGATACCTCTAGATAAAATCATCTTGCACTTTTTTTTGGTTTAAAAAAAAAAAAAGCCACTACAGAAAAGCCCCTAGTGATTTGAAAACATACAATCTGATATCTTATGGTTTGAGATAAATTGAAAAGACAACGAAAATTATCAAAACTAACATGTTTGAGGTACAAGTGCTTATTTGCAACAAGTGTTACCTAAAAACAATTTTTATAACTAATTTATAGTTGATATACCTATTCTACCTCTTACAGGAAAGCTCCATGTGATTAACCCAACCTATAGAAAAGCCTCGTATAATTTCAAAATATACAAACTGGATTTGATATGAAGCTTTTAGGAAATATATTGAAAACGGAGTAATGCTTCTTGAGAGAAATCAACCACCTATCTTATGCACACTACTTTTACGGTATGGTAAAAGTTTTAAATTTGACTTTTTTCTATTATAATATTATCTTAGAAGGTCTTTTTTCAAGAATTTAAAGTAAGAATTTCAATATTTTTTCTTTGTACAATGTGAAGAAAAATTTTGCAAAATAGTTGCTTATATCTTTCTTAAACTCTTGAGTGGGGAGCAGAACTAGGCCTCACAATACTTGTATAAGATTTGTAAGTATTCACAAAAAGCGAAAGTAAAATTGTCAAGATCGAAAAAACCATCAAAATGATTATTGTACTTTACTTGTGCAACGGATGATTATGGGTTTTTTTATTTGTGATCATGGAGTTACAAATATTAACCAAACTAGAACAACTGTTTTATGTGTCAAAGTTGTGAATATTATATTTTTTGAAATCACAAGGGATTTTCCTATAAGTTGACTTAACCACACGAGGCTTTTCATCTACCCACATTAATTTTAACATTTACGTTGCCTTTTCAGTTTAGTTCAAACTACAAGACGTCAAATTTTATGTTTTAAAACAATAGAGAACTTTCTTGTATATTCATTTAACCACAGTGGCTTTTTATGTATTTTTAACCTTTTTTTTGGGTATGTAGAACTAGCCTAAATTTCAATACTAACCTTTCTGCTCTTAGATTCATGAAGTTGGTGGCAAATTTTGTTGATGAGTTTAGACAACCGGTAATGCTCCAGCTGGGCTGCTGTGTGATCTGAAGTAATACGACCAGCACAAAGATTTATTGTGCGCACAAGGAGTTCTGCTTCCTCTCCCCACTGAAACTTCTCAGTGTTTGTCATCAACCAACTTTCCCACTGTACAAATTAGGTAAAATAGATTTACAAGAAAACTGAGATAAAAAAAAGAAAAAGCAAAGCATGAAAAGATGATGGTAAACTCACAGCTTCAAATAATTGTTGTCTGATGTCTTTCCCTAGCTCTTGTGCTGTATCTGTGGACAGCTGGTGCAGAAACTCTAGCAAATTGCTTAGAAGTCGTTGATCTACCTCAGATCTGAAAGAAATTTAAACGACAATTAGTTATGGTGTGCCTCTCTCCATCATGAACAGATGCTTTTTGAATCAACAAATCCAAAAAAAAAAATTTAATTACAAATTCTGTTCAAAAGAATACAGGACTAAATAATAAAGTTTTTAATTTCTATTTTGTACAAAAAGTTGGAAGAGTTTTATTCCATGCAAATCATTTTCAACAATGGAACAATATTCATGTCAAATTTTATTAGCATCATAAAAGTTGCAAAAAGGTTATGGACTAATCTTGCATGCATTGACAGTGTATACATTATCACCATTAAATATATGACAACTAATTTCAATTTGAATTTTAAATCCAAAAATTGCATACGTGTCATGTATCTAATAGTAATAGTGTATCTATTGTCAGTGGATGTAAGATTAACTTAAATGTTGTTGATTGAAAATAATGAACGTACATTAAATACACTAGCTGTAATGAAAAATAATTAAGCAAGTAAACTTTAAATTACCTGCAGCATCCTGTCATTGTGCCTCGAGTATGGCTTTTAAATCCCATTAAAAACATTTTCTTTTTGTCGAAAGATGTGGCATTGAAATAAAATTTGATCATCTCACAAAAAATGAACGATTTTGTCCATGCTATTCGCTCCTTCGATCTTTCTGGCTCAAATATGCTCGCCATAGCAACAAAAAAAGCATGTTCAAGGAATTGTATGCTTATCCCATGATCGACAAGATTGCATTTCTTGTACCACCTAATAATGGGAAAAGGGCAGTGAGTTAAGAGTAATTATAAAACAAAAATGAAACCAACAAAAAAAAAAACTTAAATGGAAGGCTGAATATTTTTTTAGGGCATATACTGTTGAATATCAGTCCATTGATTGAGGTGCTGAAGCTGGCATTTGTTGTAATCTCCTTTTGCCAGTTCAAGATATGCATTATTGCTGATTTCAGGCATCCTAAACAGTTGTAGGAAAGCTCGTGTTAGTTTCATTTCAAGCTCTATAAATCTTTGACAAGTCACAATAAGATGTTATCCAAGACATCAATAATTCGGATTGTAGAATATAACTCGTAATAAATTCGCAAAACCTTGAGAATTTTTTTCTTTCAAAAATCTTAAGAAAAGGGCAGTCCTAACTTAAATGCTAAGTAAACCTCTATACCCTTTGCTTTTTTTAAACCTCCACCTCCTTTGCTTTTTTTTTTCTTCGTTTTTTTGAGACTTAGATTCACTAATTGCGAAGATAGCTATAACTTTTCACTATTAACCAACAAAATGAAAAGTCAAGAGAAAAAAAATAACAAATTAAGATGACGTTTAAGGAAAGGCACCTGTATAGTGTTTTAGCGATCCATACATCATCTGTACCACCATATTGTTCCACATAGAACCTAGTCTCAATGCGAGGTAAGCTGGCATACCATGGCACTTCCAATGCATATCTTACCTATGATTTCATAGACCATTTTTCTTTTTTTTTTTGTTATTAAAATAACCAAATAAATAAATGCCAAATACTTTTTTTTAACTATTTAGAGATACATTTATTACCTCGCTCGGAATATCTTTGGCAATTATCCATTTATCTAGATAATTACCGCAAGCTAGCCAATTTTGTAAAAAGTTGTAGGCAAACTCTCTAGCCTCTTCAAGAATCTTTTCTCCTGGAAAAAGAACCTGAGAAGCCCTATAAAAGTTGAATATTGGGGTTGCTGCCTCTATCATTTGACCAGGATAACAAGAAAACTTGTCATCCTTTTTGAAGTTCTTGAACACCTCTGTGAAACAACCACTAATTTTTAATAATGCCAGTTGTGGCTTTCAGACTTGCTCCAAAAAAATAAAGGAAAAAAAAATAGATTTTGCTGTTGTCCTTGGATTTTAACATGTATATGACAATGGTTTAATTAATCTACCTCAAACTCACCAGGGCTCATGTCATATCCATGTAGTCTAAGAAGTCTGAAACCCATGGATGTGTCATCAATATCGCTAAAATTTGTGCCCCTCCCACTGAAAATTCCATCTTCAGTCCAACATCTGAAATGTTCATATAGGGGATTCCAAATTAAGTACATAGGTATTGCAACACGAGAAAATATTGCTTTCGGAAAACAATTATGATAAAGCATTTAAAGAAATGGAAAACAATTATGATAAAACATTTCCTTGGAAATGAATAGAGATAAATATTGTGAAATCTTAATTTGATTCATTCACCTATAAACGTGATTTAAACATTCATCGATCTCTGACATGAAATAACGAGAAATTCCTAGTCGTTTCAGCCGATCCACTGCAAATAGTCGGGCATATAGGTCTACTGGATAACATGGCGGTGCTGAAGCGCAAAATTTTCAAGTATTAAAATTAAAATAAAGAAAGAAAAATGTAAAATCAATTAGTTGTCTCTTTATATTATACCTCTTAGATATTCAAATTAGAAAAAGAGAAAAATGGTGTACCTCCTCCATTGAAATTTTGAGTGACTTCCGTAATAAAATTGAGACACTGCTCATCTTTGGTCTCTATGAATGCAAAAGCAGTGGAGGCTGGAGATGTCAAGAATGACCCGTTATGACATTTTAGCTTCAGCACCTTGTCCCAGTTTAAATCTGAAAATCCTTCCAAGCTATAAAGTAGGGAAGTTGGAAGTGCATGCATCAAATCTTTCGGTATCCTATAAATTCATGATATATAACAATAGCAGTTAGTGTGTAATTTCAATATTGAATGTTTAAATGAATATATTGATTGTTGTCTGAAAGAATTGTAGTTTTGGTCCTTAATATTTGACCTATGTGCGACATCGGTCCTAATGGCTTGTGTAAAGAAAATTTGGTCCCTAAAGTTTTTTATTTTGGGCATATTCAGGATAACTAATGGAAATTCAAAAATGACTAATGGTCAACATCAAATTACTGTTAGTCAACAACTTTCAATTTGTATTTTGGTCCCTCGTAATTTGATTTGAATCATTACATTCTCTTAAAGTTTAAATAATAATATTAAAGGTTTTAAGATGAAATGAGATGCAAATTAGAATGAAATTATATTAAATAGGTAATAATAATCTAAATAAATTTATTTTTATTTAATTTATTCATGCCACAAATCTCTTATATGACCTACCATGTGAATGCACACACTAACAACTATTGCCTCATCTTGCATTTATAAACTTTTACTAGTTAACTTTATCTTTCCAAAATTTTAACAATTGAACTACATCTTAATTGGAAACTCATTAGACAAATTCTTTTTTATTTAATTGCATTTCAATAGGTAATCAATCGAGTTTAAAATCAATTTGGGTTTCAATAATTATTTGAATCATTAAATGATTATCAAGTACATGGATATGAAAATAAATGTTTTAAAACTATAGTAATAGAATGTTATATTTTAATTGGTAGGAAACCCACAAAAAAAAGAAAACAATATTCTTTTCCAAAAAATCGTAAAAGCACTTCAAATTAGGAATGGTAATAGGGCGGGTCACCCGTCCCCTGCCCCACGCCATACCCCTGGGTGTGCCTTTGTGGTTGTGTAATTATATTTTTTTATTTTGGCATTATTTTTTATATATATAACACCAATAACAACATTGTAAATCATTTTTTTAGATTCTTAGCTAAATATTCAATGTAAAATCAAAGTTAAAAGTACTTTGATCTTTTTTAATTTATTTATCTACTTTTGATAACAAATCTAAACTTGTAATCATCATATTTGTTTAAACAACATACAATATATAAAAGAAATTGAAGTAAACTAAAAGTAGCCAAATAATCATTTTTATCATACAAATTATGATATATATATATGTATATATGTATTGATTTTTTAAACTTTAACAGGGGATGGGGCAAGGGTATCCTCCCCTATCCCCCACCATATTTCAAATGGGGGGAGAAAAATCCCCCCTTCCCTGCCCCGCACCTACCCCCGCCCCATGACTCTCACAGGCACCCACCTCCATTGCCATTCTTGCTTCAAATTGGTATTTACCTTCACTAATTTTTATATCACAATGATTTGAAACTAATAGGCACAACATATACAAGTTATGTAGCAATAACTGTAATAAACTTGAGACTAACTATGTAAAAGAGAATAAGTAGATGCGATATTAATGGTATAATTAAATAAAATAAAAAGTAAAAAAAGAAAAAAATTATATTTAATTAGAATTCTTATTATCCATTTAACACAATTTCATTCTAATTTGCAATTATTTAATTTTAAAACACTTAATGTCACTATTTAAAATTTAGGAGAATATAATAATTCAAAATCAAAATATTAGGAACCAAAAGTGCAAATTAATTGTTGACCAATGAAATCCGATGTTAACCATTACTCGTTCTTGAACTTTCATTAGTTGTCCTAAATGTGTCTAAAATCGTAAATTTTAGGGACCAAATTTGATTTAGACAAAATACTAGGGACCAATTTAGCACGTAGACCATACATTAGAACCAAAACTACAATTTTTTCTTTTATTTTTTTTCCATTAGGGTCACAGGTTATAGCTTCTCCTACTTGCGCAAACTAAACTTATTTTGGAGCGATTACTGCACCTTTCAAGCTTGAGATCTCTTGCTGCACATATTTCTTTCACGAATGGCGTATCTGAGGGAATTTCAATGCCCAAATTTCGGGCTCGCTCGAGAAGGGCAGGAAATATAACTTCAAACCCACAAATCATGCTCTCCACATTTTCGAGCTTACACATATCCAATAGTGTCTTGATGATTGCAATTCCTAAGTCGTACAATGTAATGGCATAAAATGTTAGAGTTTAAACGCATGCACCTTCAAAAGGAACAAGGATATTTACAATTGTTTAATCACGATTTTATCCCGCAATGTATGCACTAAAACAACGAATATAAGTTATAATATTTTTCGAGAATTCAGTTTTAGCTAAGGTTTTTCTCAGGTTCCAATGCTAACTCTTTGGTGCGTACCTTCAGCAATCTTGTCCTCATGAGTCGTCCATGATTTCAAAGCAATTACACAAGCCAGTGTGTTGAGTAACCTATCATATGGACAAAAATGGGCTTCACCCCATGAGCCATCTGGAAGTTGGTTGTCTATAATCCATTGGAGGCTTGATGGAAATTGAGGATTATCACTTCCATTAACATCTTCAATAAGTGCAATCCATGCTGTGTCGTATGCTGAGATGGTAATCCGTCCATCATCCATGGTTCTTAACAATCGCTTGATATAAGAGATGGAATCCTGTATCATGCATAGAAATTAAAGAAATTTAGCAATGGAGATTATATGTTTAATGTCGATAGGTGTAAATTTGTTGCTCCAACGAAATAAGACTAAATTATTAATTATCCTACCTCGTGATCATTGCCTCTGATGCCATCATCTTCATGTGTTTGCTTGACTACGGTGTAATTTACACAGATTAGTATACAATATTGACCAAAAGGCAGTTTAGTTTTCCAAAATCTTTTGCCATATGTTTGAGGAAAATATTCAAGTAGAACCTATCTACGGACTCCTTGCAGATCATGTGATATGTTCAGAACTACAAGATATCGGGATATTTTGTTGAGTTTCACAAGCAAACCTGGGATTTGAGCAACGCGTAGAGGTTTGCAAATTACATGGTAATTCTTGAGCAACTCTTTTGGATTAAAAGCCCGAGCTCCTGGCATAACATCTGCAGCTGACTGAGTTAGAAATCGGCCGGCTAAGGGTTTTTCGTGTTGGAATCCAAACGCAGAACAAATGACTATTGAAACATCAAGATTTAATGTGTTTTGACTCCATAATTGAGGTTACGTCCACAAAAGAAACTCGTTTACGTCTACAAAAAGAAACTCGTTCTTTATTATGAAATAAAAATTCTATGCAAGAATACAATTTGAATCCAAATCCAACTCTTGTATGTCATTTCTCATCTTTAAAAAATACTCTCTCATCCCATGTATAAGGTTATATGTCATTCTTGTGTGCCACTTTGTAATATGTCAATATCTACCTATTTATAAGTTATATTATTTGACCAACACCCAAGTAATAATAGAAAATAATTGCTAATTTCCAATCTCATACAGAATAAGCAATAACTTTTAATTCTTAAACTCATATAAATAGGAAATTTTTTGGCTACTACTTCAAGTGACTAAATTAATTAAGATATTAGTTACTTCCACACAAAATAAAAAATCTATCTAAAAAAAGTTAAGCCAATCTCATATTTTTTGTCGCTTTCCGAAATTTTAACTTTTCAAGAATAGTGCATTGGTTGTCATATTAGTACTTTTATTTCCAAATTTACCCTCAAAAATTCAAATTTGAATTTGAATATAACATGAACTTCAACTAAAGGTAAGAACAACATTGGAAAAAGTGATAACAAGTAACTGTAGTTTTAGAAAGATGGCAAATATTTTGGGGTATGTCAAAATAGAAAACATGTCATTTTCAATGGGACAGAGAGAATAAAATTTTGGTATGATCATAAGTTTTACATCATTTGTACGAGTTGACAAATTTCATGATTACACCAGAATTATATGAGTTTACATTAATTGTTGTAGGAATTAACTCAGCCCAACAGAAGTGAACTAGGGAGGCTCCGGATCCAATAGTGATAGCAAATACAACACACAAAAGGCCCTTCTAATTAAGTCACAACATTTTATTGCGTGCGTGTGCGTGCGCCTGCCCGTGTGCAAAGCCATGAGGAAAACATATATAGTAGAAAAACTCGAGCTTTGTGAAGAAATATGAATGGATTTTTTTCGTCATAAATATGGATGGATGTTAATAAACTTAAACCCACGTATCATGTCAATGAAACTGTATACCGAACTCAACATGCAGTGGACGAAAAGGCCACTCATCATTTCAAGTTTATTTGCGAGCCTTGGGGAAATGATTGCTCAAATTTGTTCCCTCGTGAATAAAATAATAGAAATTAAAATCTTTTTAATAGTCGAAGGAACCCTTGAAGGAGCTATAGCAGAGAATTAGAATGTTTGACATTTCAGTCTTCCTTTTAGAAAATTTCCATGGTGGAGTTTTTTTTTTATTTAATCCTTCCACCCTAACTATCAGACATAAAATTCGAATATTAAAATTTCCATAATGGAGTTGATGGAAGGAATGTATATATCCAAATAATAGTACTCAACAAAATTTCGAATATTCTTTGCATTCCAACTCTAGTATGTCTGTTTTGGTTTAGATCTACTCCCATTTCCTTAAATGAAAGAAGAAATAAAACTCTTTGTATTGTTAATTTCCCTTCAATTGATAGTCCCAAACTTTTTGGGATCACTGCCTGTCCCACTTTTACTATGATACTACTATGCAGTGTTTTAAAAGGCGGCACATCGATTGGGATATATATATATATATATTTTTTTTTTAATCTAGGTGGGGGAAAAATCCCAAGAGCGTGGGGCAGTTAATCTGGTTATTTTGATTTTTTAATATTTATAAATAAAAAATATGTATGATGTAATACTAAAATATCATAGAGAAATAGAATAATAATCAATAAATACAACATACTCGCTATCACATGAAATATCTGTCAAACTGGTATAAAAAAAAAAAATCATCCATCAAAGCATTCCTTAAGTATATCTAAAGTATACAAATCTTAAAGTACAACTCTCTATCTTTCACTTTTTATGATAGAATCAATACTTATTCCAATTATTATTCTACAAATACCAAAAAAAAAAAGAAAAAGAAAGAAAATAATTGCACAAACTTGACCAAAAGTCCAAGAAGGAAATATTGTGAATATTATACCATAACTCACACTGCTTGAAATATTTACTTTAACGAAAACAAGTCTTATTCTTTCGTTATTTAAAGAAAAAAATAGATGGCTTGGTAAAATTGTGGCCAAGTCAAATTGTAACTTATATTTGTAAATAAGGAATTGATATTCGTACTCCCATTTTAGCCTCTTGCACTCAAATAACATGTTTTCAAAGGGTGCAAGAGGGAAGCGCAAACATCACTTCCCTTGTGAATGCTATCATTTGTGATGATAGCGTCTGATTTTGAAATAAGAAACTTTGAGGCAAAAATGGGCGCTTCAACGATCGCATAAAGCATAGGGCCCAACTGTAAGGGAGGACGCGCTTCAAAAATACCAACCATCCACCTAATTGACCGATGGACAGTTTGCCTCAAATTAATACATTCTTTATGAAAAAATTTGCAAATGAAAACAGCAACTAAATCAAGAGCAACTACATCATGCTAAAAGAAAAGACTAAAAATAGAGAGGGGATTGGAGACCAACTTACGGGTTCCAACTGAATCAAATCTTGAAAAGGCATGAAGAGTCGGGTTGCGAGCAAGTGAAGAAGAAGAAGTCCACTGGAGAGAGGCTAGAGTCCACATTTTTTGCTACAAATTTATTTGATAAATTTGTTACAAAGGGAGCAGCTAAAGAGTGAAACAAAATTAGCCAGGGAGAAAGTAAATAGGAGAAGTACTCCAGTAATATGTAAGCTCTTGATTCATGTTGAGGAGCTCTAGTAATTGTACTTTATATTGGTTGAATCATGATTTATTTTTGTTAGTCAAAGTGTCACGTGTATTGAAATGGCGAGCTTTCCATGTACATCAGAAAATTATGCATCCTTCTTGCCAACAATTAAAACAGGGACGATGAGGAGTCGATTCATATGTGATATGCCCAGGTCAGAATTTCCCACGCAACTTGCCTTGTATGATAAAAACACTTTCAAGTTTTTTCTTTTTTATTTTTGATAGAAAACAATAACGGTTTTATTAATTAGATTGTAAGAATTAGTGCAACACCATTTGATAAAAACACTTTCTAGTTCATCACAATCATAAAATGGACAAGAACACCAATCATTTAGGAAACATAAATTTATCAAAGATTTAGTTCTTGATTGTCGTACTTGTTGAAATCAATTATCAGTGAAATTGAATGCTTGAACATTGGGACAAACTTGACCACGTAAAACATTGAATGAAGACTCACGCACCCTTAGGATTCAAACAAATTTTGTTTTCAGATAAAAGTTTAGATGAGTTTGATTCCAGTTCTCGCTACAAGTCAGAGCATGCTTCTGGAACTATAGGTCACTTATAAGAATTTTTACAGATCGTTCGTCAATAAAACCTTCATATCAGTAGCAGAGTTTGATCAAGCTAAAACTTGACAATGCATCAAAAAGGACAATTAAATAGTCAGAGCAAAAGATGTGCGTGTGACTACAAATAACATGATTGCTCCTTTTAATTTAAGAAAAAGTTCCTTTTTAACTTAGAAAAGATGGTATTTATTAAGAAGTAGTGAAAAGGGAAAGGATATTTGAATCTTGAACTTTTAATTTTCGGAACCTAAACCTTAGCTATTAAACCACAGTCTCCTTAGGTGCTTCTACGATTCAATTGCCAGTCTAGTATGCATTATAATTTTCGTGCCCAAAGCTATTTAGCATTTTCTCTGGCCTTCTCTTCTTCATAAAAGAACAAATATTTCCACCTTTCAGTGTGCATATCCAATAGAATTGATTAGTGACAAAGGGTGACAGTAGTATAGTTAAACCTCAAGGTTTAATTTGTAGTTTTGTCAAACTGAAGGAGGTAAATATAATTAATCCTTTGTATTTTAATTTTTTAGTACGTGATATCCGATAGAATTCCTATAACCTAAACTAGCCTATTCTCGAGGGGAAGGGAAGGGGATTCGATGTGAGTAGAAACTCCATCGAAACTGGTCAAAGAAGACCGTCACATATTGTGACAAATTTTGTGGGAGGCAAGGTTCGAACCCTTGACCTCCCGCACCACCAAGCCTAAGAAGGCTTGGGATGACCACTGGACCAAAGGCCCAATGGCCTTCCTTCCGTATCCGAGGTGGGCTCTTTCATCGGCCTTTAATGGAGTCGTACATTACCTTTTAATCACTAAATGTGATTACTTGAAGGACTTTGCAATTTTTATAAATTCTTAAAAGAAAAATCACCATCCAAGCCAAGCCGTTACTTAGAGGAAATCAAACCGGTTAAGATCTTATCCATCGTAAACGTATAAAAGTCAAATATACAACAAGAGCTGATGAAGATGTCTGTATCTGTGTTCACATTAATCTAAAAAAAAAAAAATGTAAAAGCACCTAATTTTGATATTGTGTACAAATTTACCCTTTTTTTTGTGTCCAAATTTACTCATACAAAATAATTTGTGCCCTTTCTTGTAAGTTAAACTGATTGCTTCATTTTCTTGTGGCTTTGGAAGACTAAGTCAAGAAAGATTGTTGGATGACCAACTAGACTTTAATGGCCCTTTTTTTTATGGCCTTTTACCAATTTGGGTTGGCTCTGTTGCATAAATCTTAAGTACAAAATTGAAAACCTCGAGATCCCAATTAGGACTGGAATCTGATTATCTTTATTTGGTCTACACTTAATGTGAGAAAGTCAATTTACAAACTAGACTAGCAATAGAATCGCAGAAAATTGAATCTTTACCTAATTCTTAGAAAAGAATCTTCTAATAGTTGAGAAACTCAATTAGCCCTATGCTATCACGATTTCAGTTGAGTCAAATGTGTCTGTCGTCAGCTTACAGCTCCAATGACGGGTCCAATATTTGCTTCTTTCCGTTGCTTGTCGAGTCAAATAAAGCTGTTTAAGGTGCTGTCATTTGCTCCCTCTCCCTGCAACAAATAATTTTACTTGTTTTTTTTTTTTTTGGAGAATTTATCTTCTTTAAGAAGAGTATGTAATTATTGCAAGCTATCTATGAATGAACTTACAACATGGCCCTCACATTTAACTTCTATATCTATGATTTTGTGTTTTAGCGGTATTTTTGAGAAACATGCTTCTAAAAATTTCAGACCACATCTTTGTTTTCAATCATATTTTTATTTCACGAACACATTTGGCAATAAAGGTACTACAGTGAAGGTTCTTTTAAAAAACACCCAGACTTGAACCTTTTACAACTGGTAAAATGGAAAACCTAATAGAAATTTTGGGACATTTTATAAACTGGAAACATTTTGTTAATAATGGAACGCGAGAAATACAATACATGAACAAACATGCAGATGAGCAAACTTTGAACTACAAGTAGCCCGATTAAATACCAAGTTAATTAATGTTAAAGCCCAATCCCATATGTCGATTTCTTGATGAGTAAGTTTTTTATATACAGTAAAAAAAAATTCAAAGTCTTAATACGACAATATTAGTTATTAACATAAACTTTAGATTTGAACTTAAGACCACAATTTGACCAGTAGACTAAGCGCCATCCACTGGTCCACAGAAAATCTAGCCGTCATATTTCACACTTTGCCCCCTTGAACTTGAGTTTTTGTAACACTTTGCCCCTCAAAACTCCAAATATATACACTTTACCCCTTATGGTCAACCTTTTGACAGGACTAAGATGAAGTTATACTTTCATGATCAAAATAGCCTTGCCTAATTCTTAAACACACATAATAATTGTAACATAATAAATACATATTTCTCTAATAGTTGTTAAATGCATCTAAACATAATTACACAATGCATTTCTATCTTTTAGCCTTAAAATGAATTAGATAATTCACAAAAAAGAAGTATAACTAACTCAATGTATTTATCTCAATACCGATAGCAATACTTATTTTAAATGAAATAAAATTAATTGGTGCATTTGGAATGAAAATTATTTGCTTATATTTTTTATTGTAGCACTTTTTAACGTGTTTTACATGAGATAAAAACATGATTAAAAATAAAAATGTATTAGAGAATTTTTAATTTTTTTTAAAATGTAGAATGCAAACAAAATACAAAGCAAGGGTATGAATGTGATATAAAATTACTAAATAGCATGTTATTGGCTCGTGAGAATCTTGTGACAGCTACAAAGTAAATGAAAATTATCAAAACTAATTCATTTGCAATTTAAAGGAAGAAAGATAAGCGATGGAAAACTTGTGCAGGTGTTTTAAGAATTTTAAATTCTTTTTTCTCCACAACACAATTTTTCAATTTTTTAAATCACATGACTTTGTGTTTTTCCTAATAAAATATGTCATATTCTGATTAAAAGGATAGCATTATTCTAGAACTATTTTGTAAGGGCATTAATGTCATTTTGTTAAAATTTTGGATGGGGCATTCATTATTAATGTTTGACTAGTCAATAAAGGCGACAATGTATATATATATTTAAAGTTCAGGGGGCACACTGTAATTAACCCTATTTCTTATATGGTAAGTTGTATGACAAAACATACGCTGCTTTTATTCATAGGCAAATTCGATACAATAGGCATGCGTGCTTAGCATGGTTTCAATCATAATCGTATGTCCTAATTTTCTAGGTTTAAGCTTAAGGATGAAAAAAAAAAAAACAGAGAGTACTCCCATTTATCTTTACTCTTTTGGTTGTTGTTGGAGTAGGAATTTACAAAAGGTAAATAACTTCTACAGTCACTTTATTTTTTACTAATGACCTATTTCATCCCTCAACTTATAAATTTGGTCTAAATGATCCCTCCAAGCAAAATCTAAGCATGATGAATTTCACTTTGACCGATGAAGTTTCAGTGTCATGTCGATGTTCTCCCGTTAAATTTGAAAATAACTATGTTAACCTTATTTCTAGTTTAACTATTTAATTGTTAACTATTGTATAGAAGATTAAACAATAAACTTGGCATTGCAAAATCTACTTTCACGCGAGAATGGAAAGTTTTCAAATCATCCATCGAGAAAATTTTCTTTTGCCAATCACGGTTACCATTGCATCATTAATCCTTTTGTTGTTAGATAATTAATTTATTATTGTAATCATATAGCATCGTACTATACGTATAATATTTGTACTTCTTTTACTTTGTGCCAAGAAAAATGCTCAGCTTTCTATACAATCAATTTAGGGCTGCAAGGATCATTTTTGCAACTAAAATTAAAACTTTTATTTCTAAATAGAATCGCAATAGAATTGCAGTAATTTTACAATATCGGGTATAAATTGATACAACTTTCATGTAAAATTTGAGTTGTAACTTATACAAGTAAATTTGTGTAAAAATTATGGTTACATCGAAATTGTACGAGCTCACCCTCCATATTATTTTACCGTAATAGCTGACGCAGTTGTAACTAGCTCCTCCTTTGCACTTTTTGTCTGTGATTACTGCACAATTGACTTTGACTTGTTACTATGATGATTCTCCATTAACTTTTGTTTTCCACAAAAGAACATATTGCAGCTCAAAGAAGGTTGCCCCAGACGCAACTCGTGAAAGAAACTTTTTCCTAACTCCTCCCTACTTTGTTGATGCTGAGTAGGGCGTCTAACATGTCAATTTTCAGTAGAAAAATGCCGTTTTAATTTGTTTATTTATGAGATAG